TTCATCGCATGGATAAGCGTCATTCGACTTCTTCGCACGAATCTTTTCGGTCGGGGTAAGGTAAAAGTATCAATTGCCGGACATGTATACGGGAACTTATCATTATCAATCTGAAATATTTTCTCTAGAATAATATTAATACTTCATCGAGATATGTCAATATTAGAAAATATTTATTTAAATATTTAGCGATGAATCGTTTTAAATATTGTAAAAATTAGTATCTAACGAAAAAGGAAAATTAGGTACGTGATTAGGTACGGGACATGCTTTGACGATGTTCTTAACATTCTCTTAAGAATGTTTGACATATTTGTTGAGACATTTCTTACTCACTTTGTTGTTTTTATATCATGAACATTACGGTACTCTACCCGATAATGATAAAATATAATTATAAGAATGCATTTAGTTAATAGAAAAAAGTTGTTTGTAGCTAAATTTTATGAGTCTAACTACTGATACAGTAATTTAATGAATGCCTACCAGATATTTAGTTACCGATGCAACTCTCTTTGATGATACATATCCTCGCGAGTATTAATAATTAGGGATAACTGATGTTATAAGATTAATTTCATAAGTATTTTATAAATAAGGCTACTTAATAGTTTCGTCAACATTAATTTAAAAAATAAGTAGATATTCCAGTGCTTTAAAAGTGTACGTTTTGATCATCTTTCATCACAATTTTTGTAACCTCTATTATACAGGGTGTCTCAGACCACCCGTATACCCCTTTTAAAATGAAATTAAAATTGGTTTTTAGCAATGATCGCGAAAATTTTTATGAATCGAGTACATTCTTTCCAATGGCGATTTCTTTTACTTCCGATACTGATCGGAAATTGGTTATGAAGCTAGAAGAAAATAACCATCGAGGAAGAGAAAGAAACAAACAGAAAAGAAGAAATTTTAAATTAGAAGAAAAAAGAGATTTAATAAAAAAGTAAAAGAGACAAAAGAAATCGAGAAACTTGACTAAACAGTCCATAATTTAAAATAAAGCATATAATTGTTATTTTACACAAGATATATAGTTTATAAAATGTTTGTAAACAAAATAATGGTTAACATAGGACGGTATCAAATAGTCAATAGAAAAAAAGCTCAATAAAAATAAAGATTTTATTTGCATAATAATTATGTCCGGATATTAGATGGACAGAGTTTAGCAATTAAGATAATTGTTAATATTGGTGCATCCATGCTCTGTAAAACTTTAATTATTTTTTAACTAATTTTAAAACTTTTCATATCTTTTATTTCCTGACAATAAATTTTGATATTTCAGCTTTTAATTAATTGCCTATTTCTATCATTCAATTTAACGTGTCTTTATAAAATTAAGCAACCGTAGCATTGTGCCATTAAATATCCGGCTGTTGCAACATTTACCTTAACTGAGATTTCATTTCATTTTACATACATTACGATATAGTTTCCACGCCTTTTGTGAGAGCAGAATACTCCGCCGTGATAACTATATTTTCATGAGGAAAAGTATTAGTTCCTTCAGTCGAAAGCAGTTATTGACGCGAATGGTTCTTCGGTTCGCAAGAGAGAATTTTCTCTTACCGCAACCGAATCTCATGTAACAGAAAATATCCAGTTGTCACTAGAGGATATTTTTCCACGTATAATTACGGCCGATATTCCGCGGCGTTACGCTTAACCTCGCGGAACCTCGCGAGCGCGGCGCGGTCTCTTTCCTCGGCGCCGTCGCGGTCGCATCCTCGACGGGATAACTACCCAAGCGCATTTCGCGACCCGACGTCCTCGCTTGACATTTCCTCCGTAATATCACAAATCTCAGGGCGGACAGTTTTTTCCCTTAATTAGCGGGCGGTCGGCTAACGAGCGCTTCACGATTCCGAAAGGTTACGGTGTATACCCAACAACACGCCGCAAGATGCTCGTATCCGCCGTGTACGCGCATCACGACATTATGTATTGTTATTATCGTCTCAGGTGGACCCACCCGACTTCCTCGTGTGACAGTCGCGCGTTTTCCATTAACGGTACGCGCCCCGTTTCCCGGGCGGGGGCCGACGCGTCAATCATAATCGCGCAGCGGGCCGTTCGACGGGGAAAATTGCAACGGTAAATCGAGGGAAACCGATGTTTACCGTAACTCTCCCATTAAAAGACCATCGATCCTTCTCACCGGCAACTCGTTCGCGCGAGCCCGCCTACAGTGAACATCAAAACGATGAAAAAGGTGGATATCGAGCCAAAAATAAAAGTTCGAATTTCACAACTTCATCTACTAGAATGTATTGTAAATAATTCTAATATATGATCCGAATGACCAGAAAGTATCAAGTAATGAATAATATAGATACTGTGAGCGTCTAAAGTCTCGAGTTTCTGTGACAAGTAAAATGTAAATTAAGCGTAAGTCACCTATTTGTGTTCGCTGTATTTTATATAAATAATTATCGATCCTTGTCTATCTTATAGTATATAATTCTATGGTTCTTCAAGAACATTTTTATCATATCTGTTGCCAGATTTTGTTATATTTTACGCATTTTTCTCTACGATGAATTAGAATAGACGAAATCGTAACTCAACTCATACATGTTTATTGAATAATTAAAAAAAATGTCCATATTTGCCTAAGATCTACTAAATAGGATTTTCAAAAATCATTCATACAGTAAAAAACCGTAGATTTCAGCTGCGATCTCGTGCGATCTTTTCTCTTATACTATACATCGTATAGTGGATAGAAACCTATTATGTACAATTGTACATGAATGAAAATTCGGTTCGGAGACAGAATTTCGCCCAGAAATTATTTGTAATGAAAATTTCAGTAAAATTTCTGTTTATATTTCCATAATATTTTACAGAAATATTTTTTTTATTGAATTTTAAATATTCCTGTTTGGTTTCAAGTCAGCGTCACATAGATAAGAAACAAGACATCAATTTTTTTCAATCTGTTGCAACAGATTGAAAAAGAATCGCAAAATTTCGAATAGTCCTTTCGTTTAATCCAGTTCTATTCATACACACGTAATCAAAGGATTTGCGAAGAACCTCTATGCTGTATTGTTATCCTTGGCTGTTTTCACGAACTTCGTTTTACAAAATCCACTAGTCTCGCAATTTTCTCTTGTGTTTTCACACAGACTGTTTAATCTTAAAATTTTCAAAAATATGCAACAAATATTTTATTAATTGAATTTATGCAAGAAGATTTGATATAACTTGCCCAAGGCTAACTTTGGTCTTTACCTTCACGTGGTGCTAGCTGTTGAAACCGAATAGGAACACTATATATTTATATATATTCGTTACAATAGTATTATTATCAAAATGGTATACAAAAATATTAGAAATAAAATATTTTATGAAAATTAATTTCAATAAAACTTATTCCTTATGTTCGGAAACAAGATTTTGTTTCCGAACAGAATTTTAGTCGATGTCCACAGAATTTGAAGTTTCGATCCACTGTGCGCGGCCGTGTTCGCCGAGAGTCCCGCGCTCGTCGATCGATCGATCGGCCGAGCAACAACCGCGGGAACGACGAAGCGCGATCCTAGAGGGCCGCATCCGCGGAAAATCCGATTCTCCACAGCGCGGCGCGGGTCAACACCGCGTGTCGGCCTGGGGAAAAGAAGAAAGAAATACGCCGCGCATTCGTACTGAGAGTGTTAACGACCGTATATTTCATATCGGAGAAAGTTTAGAAAGGAACAACATCGCGCGCGCGCGCGCGCGCGCCACGTCATAAATGTTAAATAAAGCCGGGTCTCTCCGACGAAATGAACTTCGCGCGAACGTTCCCCGTGTGAAGTCACGTTCACGCGGAGGCGAATAGCGAGCTCGCGAGATCGCGGAAAATCGTATCGCGAACCTCTCTTCGCGCGGGAAGGATGCGAACGACGAATAGCGCGCGCCGGCTTATCCTCGCTTTCTCGATAATGAGAAAATTGCGCGCGTGCACGCGGCGCACACGCGCCACGATTCGCCGATCGATAGCGGATATCGCGTAGCCGATAACGCGTAGCCGCGAGCGTCGAAACGGAAGTGATCGATGATGAGCCCCGGCTGCGCCGCGCCCGCGCACTTCCAATCCAGGCGATCCATCCCTCCCAGTTTTTCGCCTTCATCGTGCGATTCGATGTAGGGGGAAAATATCGACGTAATAGAGTTTACGTCAAAACCATTTTTCTCTTTACAATATTTTCGTAATCAGCTCAGCTGGATGAGACCGGTATTGTGATGTAAATTACTAAATAGTAAACAATAGAAAACGAAATATAATGGCAAAATATTAAAGTAATTGTGAAGTAAAAAGCCAAACATGTACATTTTTCAAACAAATATATAGTAATTCCGCTTATATTTTTCTTTTCATTGTGTAATCCAATATAAGGAAAGAAAATATTGTATAATTGAAATTAGGCTAAAATAATATTTCTCTTTACAATATTTTCGTACAGCTGGATGAGAACGATATTTTAATGCGAATTACTATAAAAATAGTCGAACAACAAGAAAAATGAAACATAATAGCTAAATATTAAAGTAATCGTGAGGTAAAAAGCCAAACGCATATATTTGTAAACAAATATATAATAATTCCGCTTATATTTTTCTTTTCGTCATGTAATCCAATAAGGAGAAAATATTGCAACAGAAATTATGTCAAAACCATATTTGTCTTTACAATATTTTCGTACATTTGGATGAGACTGGTATGATAATGTGAGTTACTATAAAAATAGCTACCAATAAAAAGAACGAAACATAATATGAACGAAAAATATTAAAATAATCGTCGTAAAGTAATAACATAAAGTAAAAAGCCAAACGGGTATAACATTTTTCAACAAATACATAGTAATTCCATTTATATCTTTCTACGGTCCAAGATGACGAAAATTTAATAATTTCTCTTAATTTACAATATTTTCTCTCCGTACGGGTCGATGATGTGCTGTCGGAAAAATATCCCGGTCGGGTGACAAAATTTTACTCACTTTTGTCCGGTTCAGCGGGTTCGAGAAATCCCATCCGGGTGCGACGAAGAGGTATCCGCATTTGGATATCTTCCTGGTAGCCTGAAACAAGAACAGAGTTCGATACCTTGAATCATCGTTCCCCGCGTCTTACTTTAACGATGGATCTCGTTTAGCGATGATAATTCGCGGTGAATTTTCTCCTCGTGAAAACGCGCGAAGGCGTTAAGGCGTTCTCGTTCGAAAAGAAAAGACGTTACGGCGAATTACGATCCGGCAGAGTGAGAGTCTCTCGATCAATTTTCAACGAACATCGCGTTTAGGAAATCTCAACACGAGACTCGCGATTCCTCCGGGTTATATTTAACAGCTCTAAAGTTAGAAAGTCGCGAGAGAGAAGAAATGATTAAATTTCTCCGGTGGGGAAAAGAAATTCGTTTCGAGAGTCAACCGAGCGGGCCGCTGGATCCGCTGCAAAAGAAGACGATCGGTGCGATAATGCAAGCGTGAGATAATGTCCGAGGGGAGATACACTCTGTGCCGTAATCTGTCAAAATAAAAGCAATCCTAGAAGCGGGGGAGAGGAACAGGCGCGTTACAGGCTGACAGACAGGGGAATCCGACGCGCGTTATTATGACACGGACTCGATTTCACGGAGAGCGGAGCGGTACCGATTTGTCGGTCCGCCATAAAAAGGCCCACCATTCTTCCTACACCGTGGCACAAGTAAGCGCGGGTCGAACAACGAGAATAAGAAGCAGCTCCGCCACGCACGTATCGTGTCTACAAAATAAACCTCCGCCGAACGGAGCGGGAGCTAATCAAACTTTCGACATTTCGATGCGTCCATCCGGCGGCGGCGGCGGCGGACCCTTCACGAAAGGTCTGTTATTACGTTCCAAGGAAGGGGCGAGGGGTATCACGAGGGTGCTCGAGGTGGAGAAAAGTGAGAGGAAAAAGCAGCGAGGCGTGCGTCGGAGGAGAATGGAAACGAAACGAGACGAAACGAAAGAGAGAAAGAGAGAGGAAGAAAAACACACAGAGAGAGAGAGAGAGAGAGAGAGAGAGAGAGAGAGAGAGGAGAGGAGGCGGCGGTCATTCACGTGGAAACGAGAGTCACGTGTGAGTGGGAAGCTATCTGCGGGGAATCTCGAAGCATCAGGCATTCATCAAGTGCATCGGGCATTCCTCGGTCACCAAACAGACGCCGCGCTTCCTCCATTCCCCGATCCGTATCCGTATTCTGCCCGTTTCCACTCCTCTCTCTCTCTCTCTCTCTCTCTCTCTCTTTCTTTTATTCTCTTCCCTCTACATCCGCGCCGGAGCGCGCGCGCGCGCGATTACGAAAATAAGAGAATTACGTCCCGTAATAGCGCGCCGCTAAATCTCCCGTGCATTTCTCGAGTGCTTCCCGCCTCAATTCAGCCGAGGCGAGCGCGCGGCGGCGCATCGACGGTTTCATTATGGGAGATTTATTTCGATGGCAGTTGAAGGCTTCGGAAGCCCCTTCGCCAGCCCGCACTCGCGGTCATCGGGCTTGATATCGCGGGCTGATATTCCGGCACGATCGTCGCAGAGGCACAGAATTTCGCACGCAAGTCGAAAGCAAACGCAAGTGAGGTGTTCAATTTGCGTTCGTAGTCGGGTGGGAGCCTTTCGGCTTTCAATGGCGCTTGTGAATATCGATACTCGATTCAGGTGACCGAATATATTTCTGGGACAGCAGAAACCTCCTAACTAGGGATGCAACGATAAATCGCTAATATCGAAATATTGAATATTTATCGATATTTTTTTTATCTGCAATAAGATCGATATATCGATATGAATTTTCGTGATATTTCGTATTCTTCAGTCTACAACTCTGGGGGCCTATTACGGTTCTGCGACCGAGATGAAAATTACAAAAGTGAATTCACTAGAATATACCATGGTATATTATGTAATTGGTCGATGTCTAGTATATTCGCTTACTTTTATCATTTTCACCTCGATCGTTGAACCGTAATAGATCTCCTGCTTCATATATGCGGTGATCTCCGGCAAACGACTGCGGTTTATTATATATTTTCTAATAAGAATATGACAATAAGATATTATATGAAAATAAAAATTTTTAAAAGACGTTTTTTAATTTTTCATGTATATTCTTTATATGCACACGCCTATATGTATACATTTTTTTATATAGATATCGATATAAATATCGATATTTTTCAAAATTATCAATATTATCATTATTGATGGTTCTAAATGACTAAATAATATTGTTATCGATATTTTGAGAAATCGTTGCATCCCTACTCCTAACGGAATTCTTTCTGCGTCACAAGCGAATGTTCCGTCGATTTGTGAGGAACACGAAAGGTTTTGCTTGTCGCAAGTTGCCAGATGCGAGATGACTGTTTCCGGGACATTTTCTAGGCGATGATTGAAAAATAGGTTGTTAGAGAATTTTAGTTAAGTTTGAGAGATGGAGGGTAGGAGACAGCTAAGAGATGGCGCACTCGCAACAAACAAATGCGCGAATTAAATACTAACAGACAAAAGTTCGGATATAAACCGTGCGATTGTATTTTTTATCACGATAATAGTTTAGTTGACATCAATTTTCTGAGGTGGCACGTCGAAAACTTCGACTCTATAAATCGCGGTGACCGCGCTCTCAAGTTTCTCTCTGGTACCAATTAGAAATATGAATGATTATGATTATGATTTTGTTGAAATGTTGATTTTCCGGGACAGAAAACTTAAATTCCCGGACACGCGATTCAACCGAATAGTTTTCTACGTGATGCGCACTCGTCGTCCGAGTCGACTCGAAGCGCCGCAGCCACGGACGAGAAAAGTCCGAGAAAATCATTTATTCGTGGCAAACAATGGCGGTAGCAGATACGAGGAGAGATTGAAAAGTTTCCGACCTAATCAAGAAAGAGCAAGATCTCAGTGAAATTTTAATATTTCGCAGTGAAAGAAATACAAAGAGCTGTGTTTCATGTTATTCTAGCGATTCATTGTTTCTGACAGCCTTTCAAAGTTATAGTTTGTCAACAATAGAGAAATTGGAGTATTGCGCCGTGATGACATTCCTTCATTTAAAAAGGAAGACTCCTACGGAAATTGTGTTCAGTATATGGAGATTAGAATTAGATTCAGTGTATGGAGATGCTGCTCCTTCATTTATTTATCAACCGTGAAAACTTGAGCTGCCGAGTTCAAGCATGGCAGAACGAGTATTTTCGACGAGGAACGCTCTGGACGACCAAAAACCGCAACAACGGATGAAATGAGCAATTATGTTCACTAAATCATGATGGACAATCGTCGGCTAACTTTAAAAGAGACGGCGGAGGCTGCTGGTATCTCATACGGGCGCACAACATTTTACACGAGAAATTAGGTATGAGAAAGCTGAGCGCGGTTGGATGCCGCGTTTGCTCATAGTTGATCGAAAACGACATCGGTCGGACACTTCACGATCATGTCTTGAGTATTTCAAGCGCGATGAAAAGGACTTTTTACGACATTTTATTATTGTCGACATCACTACACTCCGGAGACAAAAGAACAGTCAAAGCAATGGACTGCAAAGGACGAACCGACTCCGAAGAAAGCGAAAGCAGTTCTGTCGGCTGACAAGGTGATGGCCACAGTTTTCCCATGGGATTCCCATGGGATAATTTTTGTGCATTATTTGTAAAAAGGGGAAACAATCACCGGAAAATATTACGCTAGGTTATTACAACACTTGGATATGGAAATCAAGAATAAACGTCCGCATTTGGCCAAAAAGAAAATCCTCTTCCGCCAGGACAATGCACCGGCCCACAAATCAGCAGTTGCAATGGCGAAATTGTACGAACTGAAGTACGAATTAATTAATTAATTCCACGTCCACCGTACTCTTCAGATTTGGCCCCGTGCCAATTTTTTCCTGTTTCCAAATTTGAGAAAATGGCTATCTGAGAAAGAATTGTCCTCAGATGCTGAAATGATAAATGCCGTTAATTTTTATTTTGGTACTATTTATTTTGGTTTTAGACAAAAGTTATTATACCGAGGGAATGTGTGACAGGTCTAGAAAAACGCTAGGCTAAGTGTATTGAGTTGAAGGGAGACTTTGCTGAGAATTAAATTTCATTTAGCTCGAAAGGAAATGTTTTTTTCTTTGTCAGGTCGGAAACTTTTCAATATACTCTCGTAATGTCACATAGATAACGGCCGTCGAGCGGAGGAACCGCGTGGTAGAACTTGGCAGAAAGCTCGATCTCGCAAACAAGTAATACGTCATTTCGTCCATTTCCTCGGCCGAGCAGGACTCGCGATCTCCTGCTATCGCGTGGCAACCTCGAAACGAGGCAAGATCGTCCCTCCTTCTCTCTTGCGGCTGCTGCGAGCAAGAACGAGAATTCTCACTCGGCTTTATGGAGAGATAAAAGCGGGCCGCTGTCCTTCTCCTTCGAAGGAGACAACGGAGAAGAGAGAGAGAGAGAGAGTGAGAGAGAGAGAGAGAGAGGCGTGCGAAGCGGCTTTCCGCACGTCTTTGCTTCGGGAAAATTATGGCGCTTCCTTGTACGGGCAAAACGAAAGAGCCTCCGACAAAAACGCCGTCCGACGCCTAAACCCACGACGGAGCGAGCGAATAAGCGAACCCGGGCTTCATTGTGCGCGAGATAAACGCACCGCCGCGCGATGGCAGGAGAATAATTCGCGCGCGCGCGCGCGATTCGATAACCCGACAACACGCGCAAAAGTTCCGCGGTCGGAGTCGGCGCCGATCGGTATTCCACACACAGTCGCGTAATACATTATTCTCACGTCGAATAATCACACCGTCGCAGCCACCGCAGCGGGAGCGGGAGCCACGCTTAGAAAGTCCGTGAAAGGAACGAGGGGACGGACGCGCGCGCGTGCGCGGTCCGCTCGATCCGCCGCCGCCGCCGCCGCCGCCGCCGTTGCGATTTCCGCCGCTGCGGAGGATGTCGCGCGCGGAGACACTTTCCACGCTATTTCATACACAAGAATGTCAAACGCCGGATTCACGGTCCAGTTATCCCGGCGGCCGTGATCGCAGTTACTCGGTCGCCGAGGAAAACGCAAC